GGGAAGGATTTGCGACGAAGAAGCGAAGGATTTGCTAGAGGACAGCAATATTACAGAACAAAAAATGCATTATTTTCTGCAATTTTTTAAAGCGTACGAATGAACATGAAACTTGTTTTAGTAAATGTAATGTGCGTAGTAAGTTATCTGCAAATATAAATTAAAAACAAAAAAAAATTTAAGTTTTCTAAGCACAAAGTGAATGAAACATCAAAAACCAAGATATATGTTTTAATTAAAAAGATACAATTTTTGGAAAATAAATTTTTATTAATCTTTGTTTTATTAATTAATAAAATATATTTTTTTTATTCTTATTATAGTTAATAATTGGAATTTGACTTTTTGTAATGAGTAGGATGATACAAGACACAAAAAACACGAATTATTAGATGCAATATATTAAAACAAACTCAAAAGTTAAATTTTGACTTTGAATTCCTTTGCAACTACTGAACCGAATTTGTTCGCGTTTGATGCAGCGGTCGTATTGCTTCTCGAACAAAAACAACATAGGAAACATATCTACATCCGTTCAAAAGTTACAGAATATTTAAAAACTCTGGACCACAGTACCCCTTTGAAAATAATTATATCGCAAGGTGGATTATGTATTACATTGTCATTTTTTTTAATAATATTTTCCGTTTAGCGCGAATAGCCAAAACGAGATAAAAAAAAAAAAAAACAAAAATAAGAAAATAAGTTTGTGAGATAAAATGGGTGAAACTTAACGAAAATAGTGTGCAGAATATTAGAACTGCAAGAAAATGTTTAGCGAATACTAACAAACACAACACCCAACAAGACAAACAAGCCAAATAAAAAAGAATGAAAAATTTAATACATTTCTCGGTGTATTGAAAATTGTATATCCAATAATACACACCTATTCATTCATAATTATCAAAAAATATAAAAAAGAACTTGGACAAGCAATTGTGAATTTGGCAAATTATGTTCTTTAAGTAGAAAACTACATGATTTTTCTCTTAAGGTGTAAGACATAAGCAGGTTGAAGTCTTCGCATGGCATATTTTGTGACATATCATATAGGGATGTCAGAGCCACAATTCTATCCTGCTGCCGTGTTTCAATAAAATTTGACATTAATATGCTTACCTATGATACCAAGCTGCTTAAGTACCCACACTTTAGTGTATCGAAAAATACAGAGTATTCGATTATGTACTCAGAAATATACACAAAAAAATATTTCCAAAAAGAAATATTCAAAAATCGAAAAAAACAAATTGCACCTGTTGCAAAAAAACAATAAAAACGTTATTTTAGGTTGACATATGAAGTAAAAGTAAAGTAAGCTTTTCTCATTTGTACCCGTTGTTAAGAAACCTGTTAATAATCATGATGATAAATGGATGGATTCTAGGGAAATTCGTTTTGCAAAGTCACTTAGGGATCTTGCATACTTTGCATTCCTTAGTGATAGATCTGACTTGAATTGGAAGACTTACTGCCGGTATCGTAACAAGGCCAAAAATGTAATGAGAAAGGCACGGAGGAGATATTTTTCTAGAATACTAGAATAGGACATAGTACGACACATTTACTTCTGTCTCTCACTGATAGCATTCGGGAAGATATAAATAATGGCAAACTTAGTGTCCTGATTTCGCTTGATCTGTCAAAAGCTTTTAATTCCATAAACTTCAACCGATTGATTTTCGAACTTCTGAATGAATATAGATTTTCTGATTCGGCATGTAGGCTTATCTTTTCGTATCTGAGTAATAACCATTATAATAACCATCAATCGGATTTTCTGCCTCTTCATTCTGGTGTTCCACGAGGTTCCGTTTTTTAGTGTACACACTAATTTTCTAGATTGCCGTACCTTAATGTTTGCTGATGACATATTTTTGCTTTTCAGTGGCAGATCAGCTTTTCCTGAAATATTTCAAAGCAATATAAATAGTTGCCTTCGTAATGTAGTCGATTGGACTATTAGGAACTCGTTGTCAATTAACCCATCAAAATCCAAAGCAGTTCTTTTCCGATCTTCTTATCGTGATCATACAGAGTTTCATATATATGTTCAAAATGAAAGAATACAATTTTTAGACAGGCATAAATGTCTTGGTGTGATTGTTGACAGTGAACTTACTTTTGGATGCCATATTGATGATCTTTATGGCAAATTTCTTGCCTCTTTGCGAATAATTTATGCTTGCAACTTTTATCTACCTGTCCGAATTAAACAAAGACTGGGTCATGCATTGTTAATGACACATGTCAACTATGGTCTTGAGGTTATTTCAGGTACTATGGGTATATACTTAAATAAACTTTACAGACTTGTTAATACATTGTAAGATTTGTATATAATGTTCCTAGAAGGAGACATATTTCAGACTTTGTTAAGAATTTTTTAGGATGTTCCTTTCATTATTATATTGATTTTCGAAAACTATTTTTATTTTACAAGGTTATCAAATACAGTAAGCCTATTCAATCATATAGATCATTTGAGTTTTCCCCCTCCACTAGGAATCCTCAATTATTCATTCCTAGAATTTGGAAAAATATTTTTGGCCGATCATTTCGTATTTGTGTTGCGCGTAGTTGGAACACATTGCCCTTGGAACTGCGATTATTTTCGCATTCTAATAATGTGTTCAAATTAAAACTTCTTGCTTTTTTCAATACTATCTGATTTTCATAATACTACTAAGTCATTAATTTGTGTTACTGCTATGTGGGACTTCTACCCTGTTTTTTTTTTTTTTTTTTTTTTTTTTTGTGCTCATAATAAATGAGTGGTATGTAATTTTTTTCCTAGTTTTATGAATTTATTGATTATATTTGTAATAATTTTAGTTTGCTCAGAACTTATAATGTAATGTTTTTTGGCCGTAGAGGCTTTTATTACATGAATGAATTTAAATAAATAAATAAAAATATATGTTTCTCGAGATTTTCTGTGATATTGCAATATAAAATTATGGTCACGTATTATCAACTGTAGAATCGTTTATCGATCACGGCACTTTGGTTCAATAGACGGTGGTCCAAAGAATTTTCCACATAATCCATATATAACAAAACAATTATTTACGTCTCTTGTTAAACCTGTTGTATGGGATATATGCAATATACAGTAGTTTTCCGATTTATCATGGTTGAACGAAATCTGCATTTAACGAACTTCTAAAAATTTTGCATTGAATACCAAATATTACGAACACTGTAAAAACATTTGTACTCAATATAACGAACAGGAACCAAAATTATACCAGCAGTCCGCGGAACATTACAATTAAATACCCATCCAAATGTATGCTATTTTGTCAATATTGCTATTACATTGTGAAACAAAATCCATACTAGAATTAAAAAACAAAACAAAATATTACAAAATGTGTCCATCGCACTTAATCTTAATCGGATGTCGATAAATTTCGAACCCATCCAGCCTTCGCTTACAATGTCAGTAGATTTCAGATTCGTCTGATGGCCTATGCCATCGCTGTGTAAATGTAAGTAGACATTGTATACAGGCTTTGGATGAGTCGCTCCTACATTGTCAGTGGTCTCAGTTGGAAGATCCAACGACGGCTACGCGAAATAAACCTTTTTTTTACTGAAAAAATAATTTTAATGAACTGGTTAGAATCGGGCTATATGCGGATGAAAAGACCCATATCTCTGGACCCGAAAAAGGTATTAGCACAAAATGCAGCATTTTGGAAAGGTAGGACTGTCAGCTATAATTTGGCATCAATTTTGTTGACACCCATAATGGACCCTTTTTGGACTTTTTGGGGGTTTTATATGTTATTTGTTAAGTTTGAATTTGTATGGGCCTTGTGGGCTTATTTATATTTCTTTGTAAGGTAAATAAATGAAATTAAATGAAAAAATTAAATGAAAGAAAGGGGCTATGCTCGGATCATTTTGAAATTTTTACCGCAGGTGGGTATTTTTAACCTGATTAAGGGAAAGTAATTTTTTCGTGGGGGAAATACCCGGTTACCCGGTTATTTGACCCGAAAGTTCGAATACAAAATAAGGTTTTTATCCGGTTATACAAAATGGATATCATTTGAAAGCTTATGAAATTACCTATCCAACAAGTTGTCAGATGATAGGTTTATTGGAACCGGTTCCGAGTAATGCAAGAAAATTGATATTTTTATACCAGTACCAGCAAATTATGAAATTGAGATTTTCTCCACTAATATGTATCTAAACATTTTAAAGTAGCCGGCATTTGGACGCGTCTTGAGATTTTCTCCTATGGGGTATGTCCAACACCGGCTACGCGGCTGGGCCGGGGCTTGAGATGAGGTAGGTTTATTTCGCGTAGCCGTCTTGAAATTACAAAAGTTTACTAAATTTGACACTTTAGGTAAATAGCCGGCCATCGGCCGGTATTTCCATAAGCTTTCCAACGATACCTACATTGTCTATATCGGATAATTGGATCCGGGTCTTTAACCCGAACTTTGGGGTCAAAAATCTGGGGTCCCGGGTCAGTCCCCCAAGAAAAAATAATTTCCCGGGATCAGGGTAAAAATACCTACCACTGGAAATTTCGAAAATATTGAAGAATTTTTAAGCCACTGAAATTGGGCTTAACCAATTTTGTTTTGGACTGCGTGATTGCAACATAGAGCACAGATGTTAAATGAGCTTTTTATTTAACATGATACTTTACGGTTCCTCTGAATGATGTAATTATGAGGTACAAACTTTTCTGAAAAAAAAATCATTTATAACAAGAATCATCATAGATCCCGTAAAGTTGTTGTAACAATAATCAGCTGATATACTTTCGCTTTTGAAATGTACAATGCCTCTTTGGTGGAAGGCAATTGAAAATTAGTTTTAAGATAATAAGAAAAAATATAAAATGTCACATTTTAGCATTCAACTGCGCACTATTTCAAAAACTGACAGCAATAATAACAATTATGTTTAAGAATAATAAAATGATTTTCAGATGTTCTATAAATATATTAAATACAAAAACATCTTACAGTAAATGGGATTCCTTCTACGGAACCAATAGCAAAACACCGATCACCAGCATTGCATGCACCACTTAAAATCTGATGGCAATTCATCGTTACACCATTATATTGATTAATCAATTTTCAATTTAACAAATTTCTTCACACACTACGAATAATACTTCGACTTGGAGTTCTATAGAATACTGAACGAACGTAGAGTTGCCTAATGTTATATCGACAAACAGCTGTAATTTAGTTTAAGGGAAAATAAAACCAAGTTATAGTACGAAGTCTGCTGGATGTAAATAGCATTTGAACGGCGTTAATAATAGCCTTAAGTTTACACTCCATAACATACCTGATGCACGCCTTCTACGTTTTTCGCCACAAAAGTTGAATAAATATATTTAACAGTTGTTTATACATACTTTATAATACGCATTTTTTTTAACTTTATTGAAAAGAATACACACATAAAGTTTATGTCATAAACACTACAACCATGGTAGAATCAAGGAGGTTAAGTCGTGCAATCATATGTCTACATTTTTTCAGAAATTATTCATTTGACAACATCTCATTGTCAAAATTTGTATTTATAAATCCATTGTACATGCACAAATCAGAGTCGGAAACTTGATTTTATGTAGTAAAATGTGACAAGGTAAATTACAGAAAATGCAGAGATGGGAATGATTATTTCAAATGACTTTACCTTCTTAATTTTACCATGACTACAACATACTACCCTACATTCATGGCTCAAGGAACAACTCTAGTTTAGTAAAAACTCTTCGACTCTTTCGAAATTTTTCCAGAGGTAGGTATTTTTACCCTGATCCCGGGAAACTATTTTTTTCTTGGGGGACGGACCCCAGATTTTTGACCCGAAAGTCCGGGATCAAGACCCCGCCTGGACCCGGATCCACTTACCCGATATAGACAATATGGGTATCGATTGAAAGCTTATGGAAATATCTATCCAACAAGTTAAAGGGTAAGTTGTCATGGTTCGGAAGTTATAGTCAAATTATCGATTTTTTGGACCCGGATTTTTTATGAAACCCCCAAAAAGTCAAAAAAGGGCCCATTATGGGGGTCTTACCTTTCCAAAATGCTACAATTTTTGCTAATACCTTTTTCGGGTCTAGAGATATGGGTCTTTCCATCCGCATAACCCGATTCCAACCAGTTCATTAAAATGATGTTTTCAATAAAAAAAAGGGTTTATTTCGCGTAGCAGTCGTCGGAATAACAAAAGTTTTCTAAATTTGGCTCTTTTTGTAAATAGCCGGCTTTCGGCAGGGGCTTGAGATTTTCTCCTCTGGGTATGTCCGACACCGGCTATCGCGAACAAAAGTTTCTAAATTCGGCACTTTTTGTAAATAGCCGGCCTTCGGTCGAAATTTTTCTAAATTGTATACCTTTGTAAGTAGCCGGCCTTCGGCCGGGGCTTGCGATTTTCTCCTCTGGGTATGTCCCACACCGGCTAACGCGAACCAAAGTTTTCTAAATTGGATACCTTTTGTAAGTAGCCGGCCTTCGGCCGGGGCTTGAGATTTTCTCCTCTGGGTATGTCCTAAACCGGTTAACGCGAACCAAACTTTTCTAAATTTGGCACATTTTGTAAATAGGCGGCCTTCGGCCGGGGCTTGGGATTTTCTCCTCTGAGTATGTCCAACACCGGCTAACGCAAACCAAAGATTTCTGAATTTTATGCTTACGCGAAATACACCTTTTTTATTGAAAACTTAGTTTTAATGAACTGGTTAGATTAGGGTTATGCGGATGGAAAGATCCATATCTCTGGACTCAGTAACGGTATTAGCACAAATTGTAGCATTTTGGAAAGGTAAGGAAAGTCAGCTATAATTTGGCATAAATTTTGTTGTCCCCCATAATGGACCCTTTTTTGACTTTATTGGGGGTTGTATAACATATCCGGGTCCAAAAAATCGTGACCACTTGTTGGATAGGTATTTTCATAAGCTTTCCAACGATATCTATATTGCCTATATCGGGTAATTGGATCCGGGTCTAGTCGGGGTCTTGAACCCGGACTTTCGGGTAAAAAATCTGGGGTGCCAGGTCCGCCCCCAAGAAAAAATAGTTTCCCGGCATCAGGGTAAAAATACCTACCACTGGAAAAAAAATTCGAAAAAATTGAAGAGTTTTTACTAAACTAAGATGAAGCCAAATTTTTATATTGAGCAAACCCGCGAAACAAGGATAGACTTTATGGGTTATTCCACAAGATTGAATCTAAAATAGTTGGAAAGTATAGTTTTATTTCAATATTGTGCAATGTGTTGCCCACTAACATCGAAACTGTGCATTTATTTATTTTGCATTTATTTTATTGTATTTTTTTTTAAACAGTACACACACATATACAAAATGTGTATATGTTTTGATAGAATAAGGGCACTAAAAGAAAAAAATTGTATTTACCTTCTGTAATTGTGCCATGCATACATATAAACATATAAAATTGCAAAAATGTTCTGGCAAGGCACTTATTATACAACCAGCGTGACCGTTGTGCCACTAAATTATCAATTTTGCCACTTTTTTGGGCTTTGATACCGTTGTGCCACTTTTTTATTTTGATCCTAAATGAGCCACTTTTTTTAATTTTTGTGCCACTTTTTTATACATTGTGCCACTTTTTTTAAACTACATATATTTTAATCTAAACGCTGTATTTAAAAATAATGAAAAGCGTCGTACCCTGCCATTTCCAATCAGCGATAGCAAATTTTAGAGCGAACGCTTTTATATTAGGTGTTTGTTGTGTTTGTTTATTTCTGGAACAGCTGTTATTTTTTTATACCTCCACGAGGGTATATTAAGTTCGTCATTCCGTTTGTAACTCATCGAAATAATCATTTTAGACCCAAAAAAGTATATATATATTCTTGATCAGCGTAAAATTCTAAGACGTCTGTTGTAATCACGCTACAGTCAACACGAATTAAGACAGAAAGCTTAAATTTTGCAGAGATCCCTCTTTTGCCTGCAGGCAGGTCAAGTTTGAAGATGGGCTATATCGGTCCACGATATCATATAGCCCCATATAAAGGTACCCCCGATATCCGGTATTTTGATGATTTTAGCCACATTTTCCAATGGAATAGTCTGAAAATCACAAGAGGAGTTTTTTGTGAGCATTTTACTCCGTGAAAGAGAATTTTCTATATAGGTCCACATCTTCGTATAGCCCCCAATATAACGGTACCCCCGATTTTCGGTATTTTGATGATTTTAGCGACATTATTCACCGGAATAGTTTCAAATTTTGTATTTGAAGTTCGTAATGGATACTACATCCAGTGCCAGAAAATTGCCTGCGCAGGCTTATGACAAAAGATGCGTATGCAGGTCCACGTCGTCGTATTGAGCCTAATATACGGCAACATTAGGTATTTTTAAGATTTTAACAGAATTTTTAATGGATTTTAATTTTTTGAAAATTGCCAAATTTGTTCCATATGGTGGAGGGTATACGAAGTTCGGCCCGGCCGAACTTATAGTTTTTTTACTTGTTAAATATGCAATATGTACATACATATATTATTACTATATAGTATTACATATAGACGAATTTGTTGTTTTGTTCTAAACTGTTATTTTTTAAATAAAATGTGAAATAAATTGTGCCACTTTCTGTGCCACCATTTAAAATTATATGTGTCACTTTTTTCAAGAAATGATACTTTTTGTGACACTTTTCGAAAACTTCCAGCGGTCACACTGTATACAACAGCTGGTCTTTTGTTTCCCTTATCCAAAAAACTCAATTTTCTTCTGTTTCTCTTTCATTCTCTCTATGTATTTCTCTCGGCCAAATAAACTTATGTTTCCTCACAGTTCTATCAAACAATTCAATGAATAAAATATATTTTACGAATGTGAACACAACAGTATTTGACACTGTTTGGTGTCTATTTGAACAAACGAAATCTATCAAATATTTGAATGTAATGTAAACATGAAATCAACTCTGTATTAATTTTACATTTGTTCAGTCAAATATGGGAAAAAAATTCGGATCAAATATTTACCCACTGTGATCGTATCTTAAATTAGTACGTAAAAAATAATTCTACACGCGTTACAACACAATGGAGCAACCATGGTAGAAGAATATAGGTAGACGCATCAACACAGCTGCTGAGACAATGAACTATCAAACCAATTTTGAAATTGAAAATGTTGAATGAAAAATTATTTAAATTTGTGAAAATTGTTGAAAAAAAACTAATTATAATAAGCGTTGATGCATCCACCTGTATTCTTCTGCCAATTTCATTTTGCTAAAACCAACAACTCGCAATTGAAAGCCATATTGTTGTGCTCAGCAGCTTCACGCTTGTACTGTGGCACATTGCAGCAAAAGACGTGGAGCCATTGGAAATTGTAGGCCTGTTTGTTGTTTCATAACTTTTCTGCATTCAAATTATGCCAAAAATAAAAAATAAACCCAAATAACACCTCATTTTAACTGATTCAATGGCTTGCTTATTGGAATCATATCATATGCCAAACATGTTTTTCCATATCAGTACTTGACACTGTTTGGTGACTGTTTGAACAAACAAAAGCTGTCAAATATTTGACTGTATTTTTCACCCAAATATGGGAAAACAAATTTCTATCAAATATTTGCCTATTGTGACCGTACCTTAAGTAGAGTGAAGACATTTACAATATATTAAATGTGGGGAACATAATAGTCGTTTCCACATTAACAAATGTATGGTCTCATCCCGAACTGCAAAAATGTGTAAACTTTTACTACTGCTCTGTTCCAGAACTTCAAGAATGTAAAAGTTTTTACTGTGAAACCGATACTGTGGGTGTATATTAACTTTTTCATTCCTTTTGTAACTCCTCTAAATACTCATGTTAGATCCAACAAGTTATATATATTCTTGATCAGCGTAAAATTCTAAGTCGATCGGGATGTCTGTCCGTCTATTGTAATGACGCTATATTTGGAACGAAATGAGATAGGAGGCTAAAATTTTGCACAAATCTGTATTTTGTCAGTAGGTATGTTAGGTAAATGGGCCATGTCGGTCCACGTTAGCGTATAGCCTCTATATAATGGTACCTCCCAGAATTCCGTATTTGGATGATTTTAGTGTCATTATATACCAGAATTGTTTCAAATTTGGTTTTTAAGCTCGTATTGGGTACTACGGTCTATGAAAAAATCGATAACTACCGATATTCGGTATTTTGATGATTTAAGT